ACAGCTCAAGGTTACAGAACAGCCTGTTCTAACTGTCACCATTAAGGAACATTAACATCTTTTGGTTTGGCAAATCAGAACATTCAAACTTTGTTTCCAAACTAGTTACCTCTTTATATCACATGGTGTTAGGAAATGTTTCGGTTTCAGACAAATGGCTTTTGTGTTATTGGGTTTTCTATATCTTCTTTGCATTTAAAGTGTGTGTGTGTGTGTGTGTGCGGGGGTGGGAGTTGTTATGCTGGGAAGGGTAATTTGAAAGGGGTGGTGCTAGGAGGAGGATTTGGGGGCATTTGATCTGGGAGGAGTGGTGATTTTTGCATTTTTGTGTAGGGAGATTTTTGAATTTATGCTTAGTGGTGACGTGCTGATTAAGATGGCTGTACATGTTTATTGTGCAATTTTCCTTTAAATTTACCAAAAACCATATAATATGAGGTCAAAACTAAACAACACTTTCAATTTTTATTCAGTCAGGCAGGCCCTTGCACTGCTTAGTTGGAGGTAAATCTAAAGAAGATTGTACAGCCTTAGTGCTGTTTTTGCTGTGATTTCTGCTGAGACATGATGCTTACACATTGGTGAGGGGGGCACAGTTTGTCATCTTCACTCTGGGCACACATGGCACTCAACAGATCTCCTCCTCCCCTAACAGCACATAACTCAGTTCAGATTCCCTTACAGACACAGCCTCTATCTGCTCAGTATGTAGCTGGCTGCTCTGTTGTTGTTCTGACCTATGAAATCCCAGATTAGAATTACAGCGCAGCTGATGTAGCCAGCTACATACTGTGCAGATCAAGGCTGTATCTGTAGGGGAATCCAATCTCAGCTATGTGCTGGGTGGGGAGGAGGAGATCTGCTGGGTGCCCAGGCTCTGTGCAGTGCAGGGATTGGAGGAGGAGCTTTGTTAAGTGCTATTGCTCTGCAAGATCACCAGTTGAAAACAGAGGGAAAAAAAGAAAAGCAATGCAGCGACCACATCTAACGACTGGTAAATTACTGGACTGGACAAAATTATGGCTTGTTGGTAAAGCCCATCATTCTGCTGTTTTCAGAAAAAGCAATGAGGCTTTTAACGCCTTGACGCCGATGTCACACAAATATGCAGCCTCACAGAACTGGGCTTTTTTTTCGTGGAGCCGCATATTTGCACACCTGTCTTTGTGCTGGGATCGCGCCGCACAGCATGCTCCCAGCACAAAGACTGCGGTGTCACTGAGAGCCCCGGGTCCCGTTCTAACAGACCTGGGACCCCCGATCCTGGGTCACATGATCGCTGTGATAGCCTCTGATTGGCTATCACAGTGATCAGTCACTGTACAGCCCGGACCCCTTGTTTTTTTCTCTCTCTATGAATGGAGAAGAGAGATACATTGTATCTCACTAACTCCTGGCATAGAGCGAAAAAACCAAATGTTTGTTAAAGAAAAAAGATATATAAATATTAAAAAATAAAAAAATAAACAAAAAATACCTAATCAAGGTTTGATCTAGTTCAGTGCCAGGGTTAGTGTTTGGGTCAAGGTCAGGGTCAAAGGTCAAAAGGTCAGGGTCAAAGGTCAGGATTTTTTTTTTTTTTTAAATGTGATGTTAGTGTCAATGTCAGTGTCAGTGTGTTTTAGGTTAAAAAAAAAGACAAAAAACAAAATGCGCACTATTGTTTCTGAGCTGTACTAGGGGTACAAACAACAAATAATATACATATATGATATTGCTGCGATCGTCAAAAGCTCAAGAATTTATTTTGGGTTGTTTTTTGGTGGTAGGTTATGGTAGTAACAAGAAACACACAGCTAAATAAAAAAAAATATTTTTTTTTACTGTTTTGGGCCAGTTTTCCTTTGATAATAAAAAAAATCAAGAGATATCCATTACTATTTACCACCAAATGAAAGCCCAATTTGTCCTGAAAAAAAACCAAGGTATAATTCATCTGGATGTACAAAGTAGTTGTGATGATATGTACAGTTTTACTAACACATGTCAACGTTGCAAAATTGTGCTTAGGCATTTAGATTTGTTTTACCCTTAGGCATGAAGGGGTTAAAGAAAAGAATACAGTCTCTACAGTCAAACATAGTGGAGGTTCACTGATGTTTTTCGTTGTTTTGCTGCTTCAGGCACTGGATTGACCGTGTGTATGTCATTATGAAATCTGAAGACTACCCAAAAAGTCTGGGTTACAATGTAGGGCCCAGTGTCAGAAAGCTGGGTCTCTGTCAGGGTCATGGGTTTTACAGCAGGACAGTGACCCAAATTACACATCAGAAAGCACCCAGAAGTGGTTTTAGACAAAGCACTGGAGAGTACTGAACTAGCCAGCAATGAGTCCAGATCTCAATCCCATAGACCACCTGTGGAGAGATCTCAAAACAGCAGTTGGGAGAAGGAACCCTTCCAATCTGAGAGACCTGGAGCAGTTGGTGAAAGTGGTCCAAAATTCCAGTAGAGAGGTGTAAGAAACTCATTGATGGTTACAGGAAGTGATTGATTTCAGTTATTTTTTCCAAGGGGTGTGCTACCAAATATTAAGTAGAGAGTGCTAATAATTTTGTCCATTCCATTTTTGGGATTTTGCATGGAATGTGTTAGATTTGGCTTTTTGTTTCTTTTTTTGTGTCATACCAATACAAACAAAAGGAATAAACATGAGAATGCCTAAACATTTGTAATTGCAACAATTTTCTGGGAGAAGTGGTGCTTTATATGACAGAAATGCAGGAGTGCCAATATTTATATTTTTGGCCATGACTGTATGCTTTTTGCAGTGCGCTTACATATATTGTGTTGAAAAATTTAGGGCCTGTCACTTTTTTTTGTGTGCAGGGCAGTGCACATCAGTGCAACACACTAGTGTGAACTGCTCCTACAAAAAAAAAAAAAAGCCAACACTTCTGGTGTGACTTAGACCCTTAAAAGCTGTTTTAGTGCAATGTGTCAAAAATTACGGGACAAAATGACAGTGAAAACAGATTTGTTTCTACACAGCAGTTGGAGTTTTCAAGGCTCTCGAGTCCCATAAATTTGTATCACGTTGTGTAAAATGTTCTATACTAGAAACTTTTGTGACTATGGTTGTCTTGATTTAACCTTGATGACTGTATGAATTGCTGTGTTTTTATTATTGTAACTTTTGGTTGATTTGTACATATTTTGATGTCTTGGCAGGCAATTGTGCTTGTGTGATATATTTTACACACTAACCCTTTGACACTCTTCTAAATGTCAATGGCACTGATTATCCTGTTGTCACCAATTATTTTTCTTGTTATTAAAAAAAGTTAAAGGCACTACCTATAGGCATTGTAGCCTACCTAAATCATGGAATCTGTGTTTCATTCTGACAATATAATAGCCCCATTCTGTTATGTTAAAGCTTAACTTCGGTTCCTTTCTCATACCACCTGCCTCTAGAAGGGTTTTGTTTTCCTTAAAAGTTCCCTAGTTTTTTATCTGAAACTTCAGTCATGCAATAGGCTTCACCCCTCCTATCCTCTCTTTTGGATTGTAGTGTGGGAGAAAAGCCCCTGTCCCGTTGGGTCTGTCACAGGGAGTACTTCTTTCATCACCCACTTCACTTCCTAGTGATGTGTCCACAGCCTAGTCCTTGTTAAAAGGAGGCCCATCAAAGGGTCCTCACAGTTCTTCACCCAATTTGAGGGACTGCAGTAAGGCTGATTTGCTGCACAGCAAGCTGCTTGTAATAAAGGGTTCCCATTGCTGGAAAAAGTGCAGCAGATAAATAAGGTAAGTAAATGAAGACAGATCCACACTCTGTTCACTATAACAGTCCCCACAGCTGCTCCATCCCAAGTGCCAGTCCTCAGCTCACCTCAGGCACACTAATCACAGGTGCAAAATAAGCCACACTCCAAATCAATAATCATGTGTTTGTACTAAATAAATCCTTGGTACACTGGCAAGGTACACCTGAGATGTATTCCATCTCATTGGACTTAGGAGACACTGAGGCCCTGACAGGAGAGAACCACACAGAGTAGCCCCCCACTCCATTCTGCTACCCATTCACTGAACTCTTTGTATTTTGTGAATGAGTTCATAAAATACAAAGGCTGATGATGTACCCTTCCATATAGGCTGCATCCATTTCCCCACTTATCCTTCGTGACTGAGTATACTGAAACCCAAATGCACTATACTCCATGTCATTTACTCAGACCCACTTCAGGTCAGCTGCTGGATATACATTGTGTGAAGGTGACAATACATGGAGGAAACACAATAGAAAAAATGGACAGAAAATGAACATATGTTCTGGTGCTCTTCTGTACTGCAGCCTTGGTCGCAGGCCCTAATATGCTTTATAGCTAATATGGCCTTTGTGTTTTCTCTACACTTTGTGCTGAACCTGTGAATTGGATAATGGATCCCAGTAGCAATGATATAAATCACATATCATTTATGCTGCAAAAACATATATTCCTGAAATAAACACTGAGCATTGCTGACTTTTTTTTTTACAACAAATGATGAGGAACATCATGTACACATCCAGCTTAATATTATAAAAACATTTGTTCTAAGGGACAACTTTCCTGGTTTTGCCCATTACATCAATTACTGACCTTGACAACCGTGATGTCCTTGGGTGCTATTTTATTTGCCATTGATGTTGTGTTATATTATTGCACTGAAGTCACTTACTATAGAATACCATTGTTGAGATGCCTTGTTCTGTTGTTTCATTGGAACTAAGCTGTGTGATCAGCAGAGTTACATGCAAGTCTCGTTTCTGTGCTAAGCCTGGCTGAATAGGGGTTTTAACTTAGTAAAATGCTTTGTTTTTAGAGGCATTTTCTCCGAGCCTTCAATTTCAAGGGGTCAGCTATGTCAATTTTACAGAATACTATTATAAAGATCCAATTACATGGTAGGCAGTATGCTATTATAGCTGTACCAAAGTGATTTGCATACTTAGCATAGTCAGCGGAACATTAACTTCTCATCACCTTTCTTATTTCCATATTCCTTTTTAGTGGCCTTTACAATTCTCCTAGTGACCGCACCAAATCGCCAAAGTTTCCCAGCCCACGGAGGCGCAATCAGTCTGGAAGTGACAACGAGTCAGGGCAGCATATCAGGAGGTAAGTAGTTTAAAGTGGACTACGCCTACTGTATTGTAAGATGAATGTGTAATGCAGCACTTAAGCTTAGTAATAACTATTCAAATTACTTTAAGACAAGTTTCACCACCATGCTGGAGGAGTGATACTAGTTCTGACTAAATTAATAAGTGGAGATTGGTTCACTCCCCAGCATACAATACAAAATGCTTTTGAATACAACTGATCTATATATTACATGGACAAAAGCAGGCAAGAGATGGAAGATATGCCTTGTGGTGAAAAAAGAACTCTCTAGTTTGTTTTATTTCATGAGTCTCATATATATATATATATATATATATAAAATTCAGCTTGTGATCAGTCTGTGTTTGCTGTTTTCCAGTATACCATACAATGTTCTATTTGTGAACTATGTTCTAATATAACCTAGAAAATCATACACTTTTAGAGAGATTGCTGGATAAAGAGTGCTCTGTTCCATTATTTTTCCATTGGCCATATCCTACATACCATTTCAATGCACAGCCATACTGTGGGGTTGATTTACTAAAGCTGGAAAGTGCAAAATCTGGTGCAGCTGTGCATAGTATTGAATCAGCTTCTAACTTCACCTTGTTCAAATAAGCCTTGGCAAAAAAAAAACTGGAGATGATTGGTTTCTGTGCAGAGCTACACCAGATTTTGCACTCTTCAGCTAAATCAACCCCTTTATGTTATACTGCACCTCCCACAGTAAATTTAGTTTTAAGTAAGACTTTACTACAGGAAAGTGTATTAGTATAGTATTTATATTTTTTAAATAGAACTGGTATGATTGACCTATTATATACAGCAGGGGTAGGCAAACTTAAAGAGGTGCAGATCTACCTTAGCAACATGGGAGAAGTCCAAGATCACCAGGCACAGTGTCACCTCCTCATACCTGATTTAAACCTATAATTGCCATACTACTGTGTCGCAATTGCGTACATTGTACGGAAATCGTGGGTTTAAATCAGGTGGTGAGGAGGCAACATATCACCTCCTCACCACCTGTCAAACACACTCAGATCACTTTTCCCAAGGGCAATAGTGCCAGCTGCACTTGTGAATGAGACCTTAGTTACACATTCGGCAGCAGCACCCTTAGGGGTCGTTCACATGTAAATTTAGTGGATAGTATTCAGGTTTTAGAAGATCCTGCATTCAGGAGTTTTGATGCACTTTGAGAAAGTGCACCAAACTTGCAGGATATATTAGATTTATATGGCTAAGCACAGGAACGCTACAGGTACACTGCACTGCACCAGCAGTGTGGGTAAACCGCAGAGCATCAGTATGAAAGCAGCCTTATACTATTATGTGTGTATTGCTTTATACTGACCTGAAGATCTCTTCTTTCCTGCTGCTGGCACCACTCTGGAGACCACTAACCGGGATAAGAGGTGGAGTGCAGTTGGTATCACTCTGCATGGCATGGGACAGGAGCCAGCACTACAGAGGAGACATCAGCGTATGTGGCTCTTGTGCTCTACTACAGCTCCAACTTTACAAGTAGTCCCTCTGCATTTCACTCTGTTTGATGCTCTGGGGTGGTGGGTCAGCAAGCCCAGAATGTGAGCTACCAGTCATCTGGCCACAGTCTACTGGTAGATTGGGATCTATGGGTTGCTGACCCCGATTTACAGTATATAAAATATAACAGATTCTTTAAATATTAATAATGAAATAAATTGGTTTGATTAGACCTACAGACTCTCACACAACCCTCAGACAAAACCTGTAATTGTCATATCGCAGGCATGGGCCTAATACATTACAAACGAGAGGCCTTTTTGTGTCTCTATTTAACTTTAATATTATTTTATGCAGGCACCGACAAAACAGTGGTGAGGACTCTCAAGATCTCAAGCACAGGCGGAGGTATGAACATTTACAGAAATATAAAAGTTCTCTTGATCCAACATTAAAACAATGGGAAAATTAAAATTACATTTAAAATACAGTGCTGCAAAGAGCAGCATATTGTTTGAAAATTTTTCTTATCAGTGACCCCAGTGACCCATGGCTGGTATGATTTTATAACACTTCCTACATAAAAAGCACCTAGAAAATCTGTTCTTCCTTTTATTTTTGCTGTAAAATATTTGAACATAGTACTTCCACTGTCCTAGCTGACCTGTGTTTCAGACAGAAACCACATTGTGCAGACAAAGCCTAGCAAAGTCTGTACCTTGATTTTCTAGGGTACAGTTTCCCTTTATGTTTTTCTGTTGGTTGATGTTTATTAAAATCCAGCCTGCAGCATTTGCTCTTTTTTCTCTCCTGCACTTTCAGAAAATACAAATTCATTGCCATTGGCCTTTTGTGCAAATTGCAAAAAAGAAATATGGAAAGTGAAAGGGTAGAACATGGAAACAGGAGGTCCCATGATTTCTGATATCAGCAAACACATGCAGTTTGAGGAAATGGCTCAAACGTTCAAGAGGCCCTTGTTTACATTTTGTTAAAGTTTGGGTAGTGTAGATAGTGTTCCAGAATTCTACTGAATATTGTTGCACATGAATGACCCATGAAAGGAGCAAAAAAAACTTTTTGAGAGTTGGCTTGAATTGGCATTCTATTTCTCTTTTCAAGTTCATTCTGTCCTTCTGCAGGTAACAGGTGTACTTTCCCTTTTTTCCCAAACTGTTAACTACACAATACAAGTGACCCATTATAGCTTAGAGTGCTGCTGTAAATGCTGAGGTTGCCACTTCAGGAAAAGGATGCTGGTATCTTGGATGCTCATCCAGGAAGCATGCAGTCTATATAGTGTGAAGATGCAGCACACCAACAGCTGAATGCAAAATATCAGTGAGGAACAGCCTCTGCTTTAGCTCATTGATGCCTCCCTTACAAGTTTCGTCCTGCCTTTGGGGCTTTGTCATAGAGTATTTTTACAAGTGTTTTAATTGGTGCCAACTTGTTTCAGACTGTTTCAGATTGGGTATATTTACAAAGCAGTAAAGGTGACTTTCACCAAACATTAACTGGTAGCGAATCAGTCACTGTCATTTAAAACACTTGCAGGAAGATTCACCTGAAATAAATGTTTGCAAATGTTAGATTCATTGCTTTATAAATATACCTACTGTATGTCTAGAGCTCCTTGTAAACTATAATATCTCATTGCAGTAATAGGATATTGTTAACATCTTAATACAAGTTTCCAACACCCATCTATTCTACAGCTGTAGGTTGTATTGGATTGTAAGTGTAGGTTGGCTAGAACTGATAATGCTTGTACATTCAACCTAAAGTTTCCAATAAACACCAAATGAGGAACAAAAATAAGATTACAATGAAGAATGTGATCCCTGACAATATACCATCATTTCGGGATTTGATCTCCATGCGAGGAAATTACACACGCTTTGGTGGCCGATGCGTAACTCTGATGCATAATGTTTGAGCCTGTGATATGACATGTTTCTGTATCTGGTAAATGGATATAATAGATTACAGAGAAAGGGTTCTCAGATATCAGCAGTGCTTGTTTCCATGTATTTTGTATAGTGAATACAAGTGAGTATTGTTATATGCCAAAGATATTGTTCTGGAGGATATATAAAGCTGATAATGAGTTCTATACAATGATGCCTTTCAAAGATAAAGCCCCATATCCATTTAGCAGTAAAATTGTCATTTTCACGGTCCTGCCCTTGGGTCCTATATCAGCACCTTGCTAACAATCTCTACCCCAGCAGTGCAATGCAAGGATAATTCTGTTACCAAATAGATATTCTGTCTAAGAATCTGATTGGTTGAGCTCTTGGGCTCATTCATACCAGTCTACATTTTATAATATGTTCATGCTGGTGTGCATTGTGGGAGAATGTGATGCATTGTTACAGTGAGGTTGATTTCTAAAGTTGCTTCAAAGTGCAGTTGCTTCAAAGCTTATTAAATTAGGTAAAACTTCACTTTACAAAAAATACCTAATCACTTGCAAGGAAAAAGTTTTTTTTTCTTGCGCATGCTTGGAGGATGGAAGTCAGCAGAGCTTCCCATCATTTACTAAGAAGCAACTGCAATTACAATGTGCACAGTCTATATGGCTTTAGTAAATCCACCCCAATGCATTGCATTGTTTACTTTTCTCCTAACTTTATTGCAATGTCACACTTCATTACGCTCTGAGCACTGCAGTGCATTGTCAGGCATTACCGCAAGATGACAACTAGTACCATGCTTTGCATACAAACAAAAAATGCTGCATTTTTATGCTGCTTACTCAATCTTGTATTATGATGTGAATAGGTCATGTACACTAACCGGCCACTTTTTTAAGTACACCTTGCTAGTACCGGGTTGGACTCCCTTTTGCGTTCAGAACTGCCTTAATTCTTTGTGGCATAGATTCAACAAGGTGTTAGAAACATTCCTCAGAGACTTTGGTCCATATTGCCATGATAGCATTATGCAGTCGCTGCAGATTTGTAGGCTGCACATCCATGATGTGAATCTCCCACAACGCATCTCAAAGGTGCTCTATTGGATTGAGATTTGGTGACTGTGGAGGCCATTGGAGTACATTGAACTTATTGTCATGTTCAAGAAACCAGTGTGAGATGATTTGAGCTTTGTGACATGGTGGATTATCCTGCTGGAAGTAGCCATCAGAAGATATGTACACTGTAGTCATAAAGAGATGGACATGGTCAGCAACAATACTCAGGTAGGCCAGGGCATTTAATTAATGCTCAGTTGGTACTAAAAAAAAAGTGTGCCAAAAAAATATCCCCCACACCATTACACCACCACCACCAGCAGCCTGAACCAATACAAGGCAGGATGGAGCCATGCTTTCATGTTGTTTACACCAAAATCTGACCCTACCATCTGAATGTCGCAGCTGAAATCGAGACTCATCAGACCAGGCAACACTTTTCCAATCTTCTATTGTCCAATTTTGGTGAGTCTGTGTGATTTGTAGCCTCCGTTTCTTGTTCTTAGCTGACAGGAGTGGCACCCAGTGTGGTCTTCTGTTGCTATAGCCCATCTGCTTCAAGGTTTGACTTGTTGTACATTCAGAGATGGTATTCTGCATACCTTGGTTGTAATGAGTGGTTATTTGAGTTACTGTTCCCTTTCTATCATCTCAAACCAGTCTGCCCATTCTCCTCTGACCCCAACAAGGCATTTTCATCCACACAGCTGCCGCACACTGGATATTTTCTCTTTTTTGGAGCATTCTCTGTAAACCCTACAGATGGTTGTGCATGAAAATCCAAGTAAATCAGCAGTTTATGAAATACTCTGACCAGCCCGTCTGGCACCAACAACCATGTTATGTTCAAAGTCACCTAAATCCCCTTTCTTCCCCATTCTGATGCTTGGTTTGAACCTCAGCAAGTCATTTTCACCACATCTACATGCCTAAATGCATTAAGTTCCTGCCATGTGATTGGCTGATTAGCAATTTGTGTTACCAAGCAATTGAAAAGGTGTACCTAATAAAGAGGCCGGTGAGTGTATAAAGCAATTGTTTTCTACTTTATATTCCCTTGTGTTCTATGCAGATCAATATGGCCCAACTGACATGGTTTGAAAAAGCTCTTTAAATTTCATATGACTCTGTTTTAAAGTCCAGTGTAAAGCCGGCCATAGACAGTTCAAATCTTAGCTAGTTCAGCAGGGACCGGCCAAGATTTGCATGTATGGGGAGGCTGAATGTACCCAAGTTGATAGGTCAATTAACTTGGGTACAATCAGCCTGTCGGGTTTTACATATGATTATTGCTAGCGACTGATATAGTGGTTAGCAGTAATCACTGTGTTCTCCCAGCAGGGTCGTCTCCCTCCAACCCCCCATGCCCCCTCAGTTGGGAGAACACAATGACTCAGAGGGAGGGATTCTCCTATCAACATTGATTGTGTTGATGGGAAAAAGGAGCGATTTTCTTTCCTGCAATATATATACCACTGCTCCAGGTGAGGAGGCTCCCAATCTCCAGGCACTACTCCTCCTATAGGTGCCAGCCCAGTTCGTGTGCTGCACAATGAAGAGCAAAGAAAATCTGGTTGGCTGCAATCCAATCAATCCACTTTATTAGGCATACGATAAATCCAAATGACAGACAGTGGGAATACAGTGGGGGACAAGCAGGTAAACACGGTTCACTGTAAGAGCAGCGCTTAATCATTACCCATGTAATTAAGCGCTGCTCTTAGCATGAAAGCGTTTACCTGCTTGTCCCCCGCTGTACTCCCACTGTCTGCCATTTGGTTTTATCATATGCCTAATAAAGTGGATTAATTGGAATGCAGCCGACCGGATTTTCTTTGCTCTTCTATCTTTCCTGCAACCTGTGGATGCAAGAAAGAAAATCGCACCATCTATGGCTGGCTTAACTGATATTATTTTTTTTTGTTATTTTCTTTTTTTTTCTTTTTATGTGTACTTATAACCCAAACTCTTTTCTAGTTTTGGAGAAAGTGGGAAAAGTTTAGAACTCCTTTCAGAGTTTTACTACTATCTAGGGCTCATTAGAGAAATTTCTCCTCACTTCCTGCACTGGTGACACCTTTTTTACCAAACAGGAAAAGAAGGAAAGTCTTCCACGGGGAAACAGACATCAATAAAAAGCTGACAGGGGTTCTAGCATTCCCCGTTTTACTTCTGCCTCTGTTGCTGTTGGATACATTTCTTCCTTCAGTTCTCGTAACAGAGCCTCAGTTAGTAGTAAAACCTGACAGGGGTTCTATCCTTCCCCAATCCCTACGCCAATTAAAACTAGAAAAAAAGATACACTTTAAATGTATTTTACATGTTATATGTCTAATCACGAATAGTTTAAATTGCACCAGAACTAGATGAATAGGATATGTGTGTTTTAAAAGTGCACCTGTAAGATGTGACTTGGTCAATGCATTACATT